TTCTTAGCAAATAGGCACACTCTGCTGGCTGTCCAAAGATCACTGAGCAAATACCTTTTCTAAGAAGTTGCCTCCCTTATTCTGAGAGCGGAACTACTTCTGGAAATGTGCTAGATAAGATAAACAACATGTTACAGTGTTTAATCTTTGGATCCATACTCAGTTTACAGCTAACATTTGGTTGGTGCTTATTTAAAGCGGTCTTTAACATACACAGCTCAGGATTTATTTAGGTCACTATGTAGATAGGTGCTTTCTTTCACAGTCTTTCTCATAAGAAAAATCATATATTTTAACTTTAAGGCCTAGGTTTAAATTCTACCACAGTAAGCTAGTTGGTTTCAGTTTTCTCATTTATAGAATGAGGCTGTTGCCTAGGCTTATTGATAATTATAGGAGTGCCATTAAGTGAATCGTCATAAACCCTTCTTCCTCTGCTTTATAATTTTGTGCATTCGCATTATATAGAGAAGGATAGGAGATGGAATAGTAAAGCTATGTGTTCTTGGAGAAGTATGTTTGCACTGTTCTTTTATTCTTTCTGTTTTTATTTTAGGCAGGTAACTAGTCCATCCATGCCAGTCTACTTATTATAAATAAAGCAAAGGTTACTTTTCATGTGTTTAAAAAATGAAATCAAGTTAGATGACTTTGTCTTCACTGATTTCCCTTGTGAAGTCTGAGTTCTTTTGCTCTTACCTTCTCAGTAAAGCTACATCTATATGATCATGACCACTTGCTAAAGAGTCAGACCACGTGGAAGAAAAGCAGCTGGTAGGAGCCGGGATGAATTAGATCAGCATGAAACACCACACTACCTATTGTAGCATGGTTACTTTTAGTGACTTCTGCTTTTTCTGTGACTAGAACTGTAATTAGCTTTATTGAGCACTAAATTTGGGGCTAAGCGTGTAGCTCAGTAGTTCTTATCTTTCAACAGTCCTATATTTTGTTCATTGCCTCATTGACTAGAACCTTTAATTTGTTCATAAATGCTAATCAAGATTTTTTCCCCTAAAAGACTTTGCCTGTAATTGAAAATTATCCTTTTGCTTTATTTTGCACTTGTATTTTATACTAATAGCATAAGCAAAAAGATTCTAAGCTCTTTATTTTCTCTATATTTTTATAGTAATTATAGCATGTGATTTAAAATGGACTTACTTCAGTTTGAGTGTGTGTATATATGCATGCACCACCTCCTAATCTAAAACACATGATTTATTCTCACACTACGTTTATTCCGACACTGCATTTAGGGGTACCTAATTGTATAATAGGTAGATAAACCATATGAACAGATTGCAAAACAAAGAAAGACAGAAAATATTCCTTTGAGAACCTTAAATTTTGAAATTGATCAAAATTTGATGTGGTGGATAATATCATAATTAAGTAAAAAAAATTAAAAAGAAATCAAAGTAAGAAGAAAAATTGAAGGGAGAAATATTCTGTTTCATTCATCAGTGTCATTTTAAATTAAGCTGAATCTCTGGGTGAGTAACATAGAAAACACTACCTTCTTTGAAACTACACTGAAGACAACAGTATTAATATCTTCATTATAAATCCAGCTTTTTAAGCAGTGGTTCCGAAAACCCAGGTTTCAATCAGAATCACCGCAAGGATTATTAAAATACATTTACTATACTCATTCCAGGAGTATCTAATTCAGTAGGTCTAGGACAGATCTGGATATATCCATTCTAGAACGTTCCCAGATAGTGTTGATGCATCTGGTTTAAAGGAACTTCACTTTGAAAACTAGTTTATCTGAATTCAAAGAATTTTAATGGCTTCCTAATACAAGCCATTAGTGTTTGAAATCAAATTACTGTCATTTCTAATTACTGTCAGAATGCATTTGAACTCATATGTGTCAAGGCATTGTTTACTTCTCTAAAGATAATGGAACTTGCCTCAAGGAGCTCAAACTAATAGCATCAACAATAGTTCTATTAGGGTAGTAAAAATAATCACTATCTTGCATTGATCGTTCATTGTGCCAGGAGCTATGCCAAAGAGTGCTTAAATTCATTTACTCCTGAGAGGAGTAGAATATAAAATGCTTATTTGAGGTAAGGTGAACAACAAAAACAAAGAAGGTCTATAAACTAATTTCCCAGAATTCAGAGTGAGTATATGAAGGAGCAAGAATTTGCTATAGTGCTGTAGTACCTTTCTACACTATTTAAAATTAAAAGTGTGCATTTTGCTGGACCAGAGGAAGAAGAAAATAATTTACTATACTCTAGGACAGCAAAAGATATCACAAGAGATGGCCCCGAGTGACTCCTAAAACAGATATGATTGTGTGTGTATGTATATATAATAGCCTCAGTAGAAGATGTACCTAGTCTTACTGCACCTTGATATGCCAGTGCTGGTTGATATCCATGAGAGGCCTCCCCTTTTCTTAGAGAAGGGGAAGAGGTACCTGGGGTAGGGAGGAGGTGAGAGGGAGGGAGTGGGATGAGAGGAGGAAGGGGAAGCTACGATTAGGATGAAAAGTAAACAATTTTTTAAAAAAGAGAGAGAGATGATCATGAACACCTTAAAGAACAAGTAAAAGCCATGTAAGCTGGAACTACAGTGTCCATCCACATAGTTTTAGGCCAACCAGAGTTATATAGTAAGAACCTATACCACCTCACCCCACTTTACCTCCACACCCCCCCCCCAAAAAAAATGGGATTAGGGTTTTGATTGGGTTTTTGTTGTTTATTCTTTCGCCTGTATCTTTCATTGACTGTTAGCCAGTGTGTCTCAGAACAGGGTTAGGCAGCAGAATCAGCATTTTCTGAGAACTTAAAAGTGCAGTTTAGAGCCCAGCAATCTGTTTTTACTAGATCCCCTAGATGACTGGTGCACACTAGCTTGGGAATACTAGAATTGCAATTGAATTGTTGCATATTATCAAAATAGTAATTGTATCTGTGACTTGATTTAATTTTTTTGAGAGTACAGTGCTCAACAGAATTAAAATGTTGATACTTAACTAAATAATACTTTTCTTCAATATCATCTTTTTATAGCTTGTAAATCCATTTATTTGCTGCAAAGAGGTCAGAATCGGGACAAGAGTTTGTGAGGTCAGCCTTCCTTAACTGTAGTAATGGCGTGGAGTTAGCCTACAGGTGATTTTACTAGCCTCCTGTCAGGGACTTAGCAACAGCTTACATCATCACCTGCCGTTGATGTCTACTGTGCCAGGTGTATGCTGCATATAAAAAGACCACCCGTCACCCCAACCCTCTGTCTCTCCCCTCATGGCTCTGCTCCTGTCTGTCTGCCTGTCTATCTACATGTCTACTCTACCCCTTTCCTAATAAACCTCCTTCATGCGTAATTACTCAGGGCCACACCTTGGCATGGGATTGCCCAAGGTACCCCCTCCCCGAATTATATTTCATAACACTTGGATCTTTGATTCATTTTAATTAACAGGAAAGGTAATAAAGTCCTTTTGTAATTTTTAAACTGTTAATGGATAAAGCTGGTATTATAGTTAACATTTTAAAGTATTCTATTTAAGCCACACATATCAAAGGAATAACACCATGAAGTGACTTAAAGGGACAGTCTTTCTTGGTAGAATCATACAGAAAGTATAAACTAGGATTCTCAAGCAAGTGCTAGTTTAAATGCCTGTCACCATCTTTATTTGTGGTGACATCTTTGTTATATTTAATACTAAAAGCCTTATAGTTTATGTAGTTGGTCAGTAATTTACTTACATGTAAACTTTTACACTTCTCTCTCCAGGAACTGAAAGCCCAGCTTATAGACAGTATTCGTTAGTGTATATCCTTTCAAGATCTTAAGTGTACAGAGCCCTTGAATGTTAGGCAGCAGCAAAAAGTTAACTAGTACACTGTGACCAACATTGTTAGTGCTCCAATAGACAGACAGCATTTTCTGTGTGTTGGCTGCAAGTACCACAGGCTTAGAAGAGGCAAGTCCATTGACGCTTAGGCACTGACCCCATTCGTTTTGCAGACGGGAAAACTGAGGTCCAGGGACATTAAATAAATGAGTGAGTGAATAGCAGGACTGGCCTACTTGGATTGTAATCTAAAAGGGACAACTACATGGAAAAGAATGTTTCTGGCATAATACTAATAGCCCATACCATTCAAAGTAAAGTAGTCTTCAGATATTTTAAATACCAAATTCTTCTCAGATATATATACTTTGTAAGTAGTACTTAATAATGTTTTGTTCAAAAATTATTTTAAAGACCTTGTGTTGATTCAAGGAAGTATCGGATTTTCTTTTGCAAGAGTAATGTCAAACAAAAAGTTTAAACTAGTTCTGGTCTTCAAAAATCTATAAAAATACCACAAGAGTGTATAGATTCTTGCTACTTTCACTACTTAAAAGATGGGAAAATATAAACCATAGAGAACAATTACTTAATCTTCTATGTCATTACATAAATGTACAGGCAGTAAGTTGGGATGGGTACCTAGTAGTCAGATAACTGAATTCCTTTCAAGAAAAGCACATTCTTAAGTGATTTCTGCCAGCAAGTAACCTATAATCAAAATATAAAGGTCTACCAGAATATTGAGTTAAACTTTAACCAGCTTTTCCAAAATTGTGTTGAATTCTTTTTAGAATTTATAGCCCTTTATAGCCCTTCCTATATACTTAAAAAGATAGAAAAGGGTCATCTGAATTTTAATGTATTAAGACCACCAAAGAGAAAACTCCTAATTAAAATTGGGAATAAGTTTTAAAGTGACAAATGTATGTCATAAACAAATTATAAATATTGGGACCATAAAGGGTTTTTAGAAGTTAGCCATATTCCAAGATCCTCATGTTAAAAAGTTAAGCTTCTGGGTATTGAATTGCAAAAATACACTTAATAAGTTATATTTAAATTTATCACATTTCATAGTAGGTAAAATACAAATGTCTTTCATTATTTTAAGAATTGGAAGGATGGCTAAAGTTTCGAGGATAATTTAATGAAATACTCTAATTTTTTCCAGTGCATCTGGGGGCGGTGTTGTAGCCATTGACAACAAAATAGAACAAGCAATGGTAAGTAGGCTCACTGTTGTCTTTTCCCTTCACTGTAGGTTAGACTGACTGACCGGATATTCTCAAGTTCATATAACAGGAACCTAATTTCTGTGAGACAAAAATTACCTGTTTTGGTATCAACAGTTTGAAGTGCTAGAACATTGAAAGTTTCTAGTCCACACATACTGAGTAAATAGTCCTTCCTGATCATATCATACTTTTTTTTTCTTGTGATCCCATGGATCGGGATCATAAGAGAGAAACAACCATAATTCAGCATAGTGTGTGTTCATCTGAAAAGCATCAGCCTTTCATTTAAAGTGGAGGCTACGTGGCACTTCAGTCTCTAACTCTGTGACTAGTTTTTTATCAGACAGCTTTCTTTGAGATGTTGTCTTTGTTGTCTTTATCCAACATCTTAAGATGTTCATTCTAAACTTCGGGGGGAAAGAGTGCTGTCTATATTAGTTGGGAAGGAGACATTTTTCGCCCCATCTCCCACCGGCGCTGTCAAGATATAGCAGAAACATTAAAGGCAAAAAGAAAAAACTGCTTTAAAAAAATTAAAAACCACTTAGTGTTTATAAGGCGCCTAGATAGTCTAGAACTAAGTAGCTCCTTGTTTCTCATAACTTTTTTTGACATTCCTAATTTTGTTCTTCACAGGATCTGGTGAAAAGCCATTTGATGTATGCAGTAAGAGAAGAAGTGGAAGTTCTAAAGGAGCAAATAAAAGAATTAGTGGAAAGAAACTCTTTACTTGAACGAGAAAATGCACTGTTAAAATCTCTTTCAAACAATGATCAGTTGTCCCAACTCCCAGCCCAACAGGCCAATCCTGGTAGCACTTCTCAACAACAAGCAATGATAGCACAGCCTCCTCAGCCAACGCAACCTCCACAGCAGCCGAATGTCTCCTCAGCATAAAGCTTTCTTAAGCCTCCTTAAGGAACAAACTGAAAGCAATCTTTCCTTGTGTGCCACTGGTGTTCTTTCCACTTTATAGAAAGCAAGTAGCCATGCTTCGGCTGTGTGCTTGGCCTTTTCAGTATTAGACAATCGTTCTACAGGAGCTTTCCCTCTCTAAGATGTCATGCAGCACTGTTGATGTCCGCTTGTATGTCATCAGTACACGAGGCGGGTAATAGATGGGGTTTATTAAAGCAAGCAGAATCTGCATTCTACATGTGCGCATGAGTGGGATCTTAAAAGTTTTGGTGGCTCTCCTATGTTTCTTACCACCTATGGATTTACCTTGAGCCTTCCTGTCACATAACAGTTCATCTAAAGAGCCACTTTTCTTTCAATATCAGTAACATTTGCCTACGTAAGTTTTCATTTATTTTGTGTTTTATTTATTACAGGGCTGCTATTTTCATAATGTACATGAACAATGTCACAGAACTTTTTTAATTTTTTTGAATAATTACAAGTATCAGTAAAGGAATTGAAAGACAGGATTACATTTAATAAAACGTTTAGGCAATAATTGAACAAAAGAATCCTGGCACATTTCTAACACTAATGGCAATTTACCGTTGGTATTTATTTTCAATAGTAAAGATCCAGCTTGAATGTAAATTTTGTATAGTTGTAAGTATGAAAAACACAGTGCACCTGTACAGGTAGTCACCAGTTATTGTGATATAATAAATAATTGGGCTATTTTCATGAAGAAAACTTTGTTCATTTGTTTCTACTTTCTAATAGAAATTGCCACGATTTCTCTGCTTTTCAACATTTCGTATGACTTTTTTTTTTTTTTTTTTTTTTTTTTTTTGGGTGGGAATAAAAAAGCTGTGAAATTGTTCAACCTACTTTGTAACCAAAGAAGCAAAGCTGTGTAATGGAGTTTTGTTTTGTTTTATAATGCACATTCTTTATGTATTTTTATTTAGTGTTTTCTTGGTCACAATTTTCTTTGCTGTCTAGCATGATCTGCATGGCCTGTAATCTTTGAACCACTTTCGTACCTCATGTTTTTATCCAGCACTCTTATTGTACTGTGTACTAGTCTGTGAACAATGTCAAATAAAAAGAACGAGCAGGTCGTATGGTGGAGCTGAGCTAGTGTACAATGCACCAGCTGTACGAAACAAAATTGAAGTGAGCCATCTTTTGTTCATTTAAAATGGTGTTTTGAATTTCATATGCAGAAAACGTTTTGTTACATTGCAAATTTTAATGTATTTAAAATAAATGCAACATGCAGATTAAGTGCAGTGTATACTGAGTATTTAAATTAAAATGTACATTTCATAAATACAGTTTCAAGAGAAAGCATCATTTTGTGTATACTAACACATTAAGTGTATGTCAGAAATTGATGTAAAAATATATATTTTAACACATTTTCTGAAATTAAACTACAGTTTTGTTCAAATATTTGGCTCTATATGTGTTCAGAATTTAACTGTTTTTTCACAGTTTAAAATATTCCTTAAATGAAAACCCATATTATTAATGACAATGATAGTTCTTAAATTTTCAAAGTAAAATAATTTAAAGAACACAAGAATGGTGAGCAATATTTGTACTCAATATTCATATTATGTTAACAATATAAATAGGAAATCCTCGTCTACCAAAACTTTTACTTGAATTCAGAAAGGTGCCTGTAGAAATTAACATGTCCTGTATGGGTAGCCCACTAGTTAATTAAGTCTTAATGAGAAACAGTAGTTATCTCTCTGTGTTAGAAGAGGTTAAATGTTACCTATTTGAAATGTTCTAGCTTCAAATGAGAAGCATAAAATTGAAACATACATGACGTTACCAAATATTTTTTATTCTAGTTGTGCTACAGAAAATAATGTTGAGTAAGGAAAAAAATCTCATGTTAATTAATAATATTGGAAACACTTAAAAGAACTAGATAAGTATGTAGACTTGAATATGTAATAACCCTAAGGATTCAGAGTGAGAGTCTAGTAGAACCACCATGGGCAAGATAGGATGTTAAACTGCTGTTGGAATGTGAACCCGAATATTCTCTGTGCCCTTCCAGTGCTAATAGTGTAGTACTTCATTCAGAGAAAAACGTAACACCAGAAAAGGGTTGTAGGAGGAGACAAAGGGCAGATGGCTGCCCAAGAATGCACAAGATCGTCTCTTTGATGCCTGGTATGGGAAAAACATTGATTTGTGAAAATAAAAAATGAGTTTTTATTCTAGAGACAGAAAAACATTTAATAAACAATACAATAGTGGTCACCAATTTATTAACATTTTAAGGTTAAAAATGCTGACAGCAATTGCTACTCTTATTTTTTTAAAAGGGGGAAAGTCCTAGAAAATGGTTAAGAAAAAAATAAAATTGGTTTCAAAAGGACTAACCTCAAACTAAAAATTTGATTCAAATTATTTTAATCAATTATTGTTTAAATAGCAGGAATTAATGTAGTAAGGTGGGCTCTTCTGTGTTCTGAATGAAATTTGTCAGTGTGTATTAAGAGCTTTAAATGTTAATAAACTAACTCAGCGGCATGATGCTGAACTCGAGGTGCAGTGTTCAAGAAATGCAGCTGTGTGCCTGTTCTATATATCCACTCCTTCCCCTAGGATTCAAAAGTTTGTTGATTGTCTGTCCCTACCTAAAGTTGTATAATAAAGTTTACATCTGAATTTGTTCCCATTTGCATGAGGCACACTGAACAAAGGTAGGACAGGTATTATGCTTTTATTTGAAAGTATTTGAATTTGAATCATTTCTCCCTGATTGGTTTGTTTAGGATCTTCATTTAGATTAGATATTTTTGGGAGTTAGTCCCCAAATACCTAGAATATCAACTAGTTGAAATTCCAATTTGAGGGGCAAGTCTTACAGGAAATGTCATCTACCTTTAATTTTCTCAGAGTTAGCCTAGATAGACCAGGTGCTACTACATAAGCTTTAGGTTGCTTTAATTTTCTGATAATGGTAAAGCATGTACAATTGAAACATAACTTTGCCCAAAGAAAATTACATTTAGGTAGTCCTAATATATTCTTAAGATGCATCCAACAAAACAAAAAAGTGTAGGGAGTTGGAGAACTAAGCGTTCAGCTATTTTAACTGTTAGATGAAGCTCTTCAGCTCTGGTGACAGATCCTGTGTTTCAGTTTTCTTCAGTGATTGTGCTGAAAGGTGAAAAAGCTCAGTCCTCCAGATGCACAGTTGAATTCAGGCTACAGAAACCAGCTGATACAGTGAGACAAGAAATACAGTCAAGGATGGATTTCTCAGGGGGTTCTTGAAAGGCGACATCTAATTTTTGAAGGTCACAAGAGCCAAGAGGAAGAAGGGCATTCCAAAAAAAAAAAAAAAAAAAACAGCCTGCTCAAAACTCTGAAAGCATAAACAGGGTTCCGAAAGAGCACAGAATTTTGTGGGAGAGAAAACAGAAATAACTGCCCCATCAGTGTTGTTATTTGGCATTAACAAGAATGACTCATTGGATGATGGCTAGTGGGATGAGCTCAGTTCAGTTCATTGGTAGAGTGACAGGTGGAAACTGGAGACAAATCATTTAGAATAATCCAGAAAAGTGGTGAGAGCATTCCATGGGACAAGTTGTCTGAAGTTTATTGAAGTTGGGAATTCCTCTTCTTTTCAATGACTAATCCACTCCCAGTATCAGCATTTTCTCGTTTCTTTGAGGAAGAAGCACCTCAGCCAATACTTACTAGTCAAGTCGTATTCCCAGGCGACATGCGTCTCTACAAAAGTAACATATTTGTTTCCTGTTGAAGGAATTGAAAGAATCGGTGGAAGAGTAGCACAATCAGAAATTTGGTCTCTATGCCTCTGTAGACTTAGGCCAATAGTAATGAATTGAATCTTGCTCTGGTGGCTGTGCAATCCCACAGCCCTTCCAGTCCCTTGCTCCCTGAAGATATAGTATGGATTCTGACTCAGGTGCAAGTACTGACATCTAAGAATAGATTTTCCGTTAACTTTGCCTTTTATTCTCTAACATAGGTCAGCCCAGCAGCCTTCTCTTCCACACTCTGTTAATGCCGTTAACAGACTTCACCTGCCCCTGTTTTAAGCCCCTAGTAATTAGTTTCTATTTTCTAATGCTAATCTCATCTGGTGTTTATTTGCGCCAACTGGCCCACCGTTTGACCTTCAGGGTACATCCCTGTCTCATATTTTCATAACAGGTTACAGATTTCTACATCTAAATCTCTTTCACTGCACATCTTCCCTATAATAACCCTTCCCTAAGGGTTATTAAGTGGGCTATCTTAGTGGGTATCATTGGCCTGACATGTTCAAATACAGGAATTGCTAAGTAAGTACTATAGAAAGCAAGTTAAAGTTCACAGATCTGCACTTTTTCTTTTCTCTCTGTTTTAACGGAAAACATTAAACATTAACAGTTATTTGTGATACCAGGATAAGGTGTTAATTGTGCTGGCACAGTCCACTTGGACACTGAATTTGTTCAAAATGATTGGATAGTGAGTTAGCTTTATTTTTCCTTTTCTTGCCAGGGAAACTGATAAATCAGGCAGTTTGGAGCATTTTCTTCCTGCCTTTCATGGATCCAGGGTCCCTATGTTTACAGACTAGGACCTGCCCATAGAAGCCATAAAGTTCCTCTGAAAGAAGGAAGGAAAAGAGATCTTCTAACTATAGAAAAAATGACTGAAGTTTAAGACAAGCCAAATGACTCTCCAGCTTTTTCATAATGAAAGTTAAGGCCACTTGCAGTTTCAGTTTGCATGCTTTCATTATTTTCATAAAACAACCATAAAGTGCTCTTGCCCACTGCAATCCAAAACGACTTCCAGATCACAGTTTTTACTGTCAATTCACAAGAGAACATCCATAGAAAGGTAAGGCTAAAGAAGACTGCAGACAAGCAAGCATCTCCCACACTTCGTGCAATGGTAGGCCAGGGTCTAGTTCTAGCTTACTGAAAAAGAAAATTATGTAAATCTCTTAGTAAGGTAGTAGTCTTGCATAGACAAATACACTTCTTGAAGTTGGAGAAATAATTTGGGCTTTATTTGTGTTTTTATTTCTTAGAAACATTCTTGAAAAGCAATCCAATTCTATCTCAACTTAGGTGCTGAATGTTTGAAAACAGCTGTTTAGAACCTGGTTTGTGCCTCCAGGAATTCATCATTCAATGAGAAAATAGAAGCTGAAGTACCATGTTGCTTATTCAGAATAAATACAAGGTTTGTAGACCTTGTGTTGTTTGTTAGATGGAAGGTTCCTATAAATCATTAGTAGTTTGCTATGTCATGTGAAACCCTTTGCCATTGCCAGGAAATAACTAAATCACCAAAAAGCTACAACATCAAATAATCTTTCTGGAAAGAAGAGACCAGGCAAGAGAAAGTTTTCACACCTTTACAGAGTCTGGGAGGTGCCCCCTAAAACAGAACTAATCTGACAAGTTTACACATTTTTAATACTCTCATTTTGTAGGTAATTTATCTTAATTTATCCTAACTTGGCTAGAATTTACATGTCAGGAATTATATTGTCTTGTCTCATAAGCGACATGGATTTTGGTTGTCATGATCAGCTGTCATTCAGTGAATGAAATTAATAACTCAGGTACCTGATGCCAAAAATAAATCTTTAATAGGACCAGGAATTCTGAGATAAATACAAGGCCGTATACTAGGTAAGTGGCAAGCCTTACAGTTCATATCAGTGGGGAAAGAATGGCTTAGTCAACAGGCAGAATTGAGACATAACATTTGAGAAGGAAAAAAGTAAGCATAGCTCTCAGAAAAAATAAAAATTTCAGCTACACTAGAAGTGAGTCTTCTACCCTGTGAAATTCTAAGCCTTGATAATGCAGGAAAGTAAATAGTTTCACAAATAAGAGAATGCTCAGCCTCAGCAAAGCCAAGTGCACATGAAACACACATTATCTCAGATCCAAATGGTGAACATTAGACACACAGATGAAGGGCTGACAAATGTGGAAAACCAGGAACCTGACACCATACAAGTTTGTACAGCCACTTGTAAAGGCAGCTGAATATTGTCCAGTGAAATTGAAATTTTAGATGTCCTGTGACCCAATGGTTCAAAAAAATTTTAATATCTACCCTAAAGAGACATATGTGTTCACAAGGCAGCTTGTAAGAGTATATAAAATTGGAAAAACCAAAATCCACCAACCATGGAATAAGCTAGATGCTATGAAATATTAGGTACCAGTAAAAAAGAATAAAGAAGGAATATATGCTGTCAGTAGATTTCTAGGATGCAGTGTTACATTTGTTAAAAGTTTGGGGGAAAATACATGTAATACACATGATACTGTTGATGTTAAAAAAAAAAAACATGCCATACACAATACTGTATAGTGTACTGCAAATATCTATCTGTGTACAATATAAAGTTTGGAAGGATATTAACCAAGCTGTTTACAGTAGTTTGGTGGTGTGTGTTAGCTTAAACTGTAACATTTGATGTTTTTGAATTTGCATTCGTGTAATGTTTATGTAATGACATTAATAAATTAGAAATAAAATGAAATAGAAAGTGTTTTCTTCTTGCCTGCTGCTAATATCTCCCCATCTCCTAGGTCTGTCTTCAGCCTCTGTACTTGACTGCTGTCCCAGGAATGTTTTATTCACCCTCCCCACACCCCACTTCTTAATATATCACCTCTCACCTCTGGATTATTTATGTAAGTATACAATAAACGATAAATAAGTAACACTCCTCCCTAACAGAGTTCCTCTCATCCCAGCTTCCTCTTTTGCCTTGCTCTCCTGGGCTGTCACAGCAGTGCCAACTGACCTTGGCTCCTCAGCGCCACTGGAGCTGTTCTTGTCAAGGCCATCAATACTCCTTTGATGCAAAGTCAACTACAGTGTTCTTACTAGATGCTATGCTTAATTTCGGATTATCATTTAATTGACATGGATGTCATTTTCCATTCCTTCACTTTTAATTTTTCTCACTTGTTATTAACTTCTCTTTATTTTTAAAGCATATAGCTGATTTTTTTAAATGTTTTGTCTTTTAACAACTGAATTTAATCCATTCCCATATATCATTATTGCTGGCATGTCTGGAGTATTTCTGCCATCTAATTTTGTGTTTTCTCTTTAAAATATTTCCTGGGACCTTCCTCATTCCCCCCTCTCTTGGCTTATTCAACTGATAGTTTTTTATTTTAATTTTATTTATATAATTTGTTACAATTATATTACAATTTATTCACTTTGTATCACCACTGCAGCCTCCTCCCTTGTCTCCTCCCAGTCCCACCCATCCTTCCCCTTCTCCCTGTATGTCCTTTCCCTAGTACCCTGATAGGGGAGGAGGTCCTCCCCTTCTATCTGACCCTAGCTTATCAGGTCTCACCAAGGCTGGCTGAACTAGACCCCCTGTTCAAAGGAAGCCCATTGGTTGCTCAGTTTCCAAGTGGGTTCCCTAGTAAGGGGTACAGGAACTGTCTCTGACATAAACTCAGTGGCACACTCTCTGATCAACTGATGGTTTTTATTCATTTCTTATTCCTTTTATTGTTGAAAAGTTATACATCCCAGGTCACTTATCCTAGTGCTTATTTTACTGTTTTCTTTATCACTAAGTTGTGGCAATACCCAACCATATGTAAAAGAAGTAGTCTAGTAAATGGCCATGTGCCTCCACCCCG